CCTGGAAAATTTAAGGAGTTATTATTATGTACGTTTAGATGATACAACCGGTAGGATACTTTTGCACGTTACTGTACTTGGCCGGGACGACCTGAGATCATGTTTGCGTCATCATTCAAAAATATCGACCCTGGATAAACTTTTAATTGCCCTCATTTGGATCGTGTTTGTGTCGTCATTTAAGTACGACGAATTTGCATCTGCGTTATAACTCATTTTCTGATCAATTGGCAAAAGATGCATTTCTATTTGACAAGAGATACCAAAATTTTTTTTGCTATTATGAATAATATATTTTTTTTCCCGTTTTATGTTACGAAAAGGGATAGCGAAAACTTGATTGAGATACAGTACTAGAACGATAATAAATATAAAAATTCTTAATGCAAACGGAACAGTAATCCGTACGTTTTAGCTGGATTTGTAATCCGTCTTTTAGATATCGATAAAAATATACATAATGTGTCTTTTTGCGAGCAAACACAAGACTATAATGCAAAACCCTCGACCAGTCTGACCGATAATTATTTCGATTTGATTTATGTGTGTATATTTAAGAATAATAACAGTTCCCTTACTATCTGGATAAATGACTAATTGAGCCATATATTCAGACCCAAAAATTTGCATAATTTGTACTTTTTATTCAAATTAAACCATTATACATATTCAATAGATAGTAAATAAAGTTCATTTAACTCCTTTTTGTATGGCGTAGTAGGAACACCAAAGCGGGCTTCATATTTCCGCTTAGAGTTTAAGAATTCTGCTTCATTCATATTCTCGCGTTCTTTTTCCAGTAATTATATTATCCTGAAATTGAATGCAATCTTGGTTCTCCATTTTTCTGAGACATTCGAAATTTTCGCTGTAAAAGAAGAAGTAGAGTCTCTGTATCAGATTTATTTTTAATGAAAAATTTCGAAGAAATCGATGGTAAGTCAGAAACTCCAGGCGTTACCTGTTCAGACGTGTTTTTTTCCAAGCGTAGGATTGAGATTTGATTTTAGTGAATTAATATTTGTATTATCACTCGAACAAACATTAGGAAAAACTTTTTTCAGATGTTCATATATTTTAAGTTTCAAGAATGTAGGTTGTTTGCTACGGACTTTTTCTCGATCGAGTAATACTTTGAATTCTTTTAGTGGGATTTCTAGAAATTTCGTGAAGTATTTAGATCATATTGCGGTCTCCGTTTTTTACCAGATATCGCATAGTAAATTTGATAAGTTAGCATCAAAATCTTTACGAGACAATGTGTAAGACGTGTGAATGCCCAAAGAAAAACCTATGCCTCGCAAAATCTCCAACGCAATAACTTTTGGCAATAACGAATCACAAGAAGCTTTTCATGTTTATTACGCAAGTTATCCAAGGAAGAAGCAGAGCTTCGAGTATCCATAGCCTGAATCAGCGCTGTACGCGCTTCGCATTTCTTTTTAGAATATGTCTCTACAAAATCTATTATATCTTCTGGGGTCTTCTTATAAAAGGACGCAAGATTATATTTCTGCAGCTGAAAAAACAAACAAACGTTATTTGGCCAAGTAATGATAAGTTTACATTTGCATCGTCACTTTGAATGACGACGAGTTTGCATTTGCGTCGTCATTTCATATCCAAATATAGAAACTTTCTTCCAGAAAAAATAATTCAAGATGACGACGATTTCGCATTTGCATCGTCATTTGCCGAGGAGATTAATTTTTGATTTGAAGCTTCTTCAGAGCTCACGGAGAGTGAGGATTCTTCATCTTCAAGGAATCTTCTTTTAAATTCCTCATGAGTAAGGATAGGATTTTCAGAGTTCTTTATTTGATTCAATTTTTCCTTAAAATCGGACCATTTAGGTCCTAGATATAAATTGTTCTTAATACGGTAAATAAGTTTTCCCCATTTCTCTTTACTATGGATTTTGTATTCAGGCATCAAAAGTCGGGCGTGTCTATCGCATGGAGATGCAATCCATAACCAATCCTTCTCAGTTGCTGCATCTTTTACTAATTATATCCCTTCTTCAGAAAGCTTATTTCGTGCTGTATCTGGTCTCATCGAGTACGTTCTGTTAGTCATTGCTATGAATAATATGCTTAATCAGTTTATATATGGGTTTATCCTTTATTATCTAGCTTTTTACTCAGATCATGTAGTTTGTACAGATTAATAAAAAAGGAACGACAGTTTGATAAAGAGGGTTTTTTTGTCCCTTTATGATTAAAAATAAATAAAAATATTGTGGACTTATACCGATTTACCGTATTTCTTGGATAAATAAGAAATGCTTGTAATTTAATTTAACGTTTTCTATTCAAAGTTAAGAATAGTATAATCTCACCGCAATTATTTAACTTTGAGGTATACGTCAACCGAGCCCGGAGCGATAATTATTTTCGAATTGAAAGAATATTTTTCATAGTATATAACCCAACAAAGTGAGTATAACCTACGATATAAAAATATTACCATGTCGGCCGTCGCAACAAAAATTGTCAAAAAATACAATCTTATTCCAGAGATGAGTATATCTGAGCTCAGTCAGTATACTTCTGAGTTGCTTAACGGACTTACGGACGACAGAAAGCGGGATCAAGCACGAAGACGCCTTCGAGATGGGTTCAAATTCAGCGATAAACAGGTAAGCAATTGATTCCTACTCAAAAAAGTGGCTGGCGAAACGTAAATTTTACAATTCTAGGCAAGGTTCCGATGAAGTCAGAAAAAACCATCAAAGAGTTAGCACAACGAATTTTACAAGATAAACTTAGTGAAAAGCCGAAGCAGTAAAGTTAGCTAAGTCGGCTTTGAATGAAATTGCTGGATCTCTCGGCTTCGGAGAGAATTACGAAATCTCAATATTAATGCCCCGTATAATATAGTTGAAGCGACAAAAATCTCTGAAATCACAGAGAAATCCAACAAAATTCAAAAAAATTCGCCGAGGAATTTAAAAAATAGATTATCCAGATGAATTTACAGTTAAGGAGAGACTAGACAGATACGATGTTAAATTTTCCTGATTTGCAAGCTCTTGCTGATGTTATGTTAATGCTTTGTATGCGTCCTTCTGAAATCAAAACATGCCAAAGAATTGCTTACCTGGATACAGGATGCTAATTATCTGTGAAACTCGAGAATCCAGGTAAGCCCGGAGCTAAACGATTAAATGAATATTTAAAATTCTATGGACTTATTCCACGTTATTTGCGCAGTATATGCCATAATAGCGCATGGGGATAGAAACCTAGCTCACGCTATGACACTTGCCCAGGACACAGCCCAGATAAAGTAACGTCATTTCGAGGCCGCGTAAGCGGCTTTGCGAAGCAAATATATGACTCACAGAAAGAGGAAGCTTTCGTCTCTAAGCCAAATGAAATTATGGAAGTAGCTAAAATCATTGATTTGTATAATTACTAATCCTCCGGTCACTTTTCCGACAATTTTGTTATACGAGGCGCAGAGCGCTCTGCGAAGCAGATGATAGATTACCAAAATCATACGAAATAAGGTGTCTTTGCTTCGCAAATCTTTCTTGCTTGAAAAACGCTAAGATTCTTTCACAAATATCTTCTGGAATGTGTATAAGCACCTTTTTAGCTTGTT